AATGGGACTGTGCCAACTCAGAAGGTTCTGAGTGGGGCTCAGGATGCCACCTAAGGCCCCATACTCTACAAACGCTTAACAAGAAGCCTATTTCCCTGAGCAAATTCTAACTCTCCTTTTACCAAATCCAATCAGTTATAGGCTTATGAGCTTTCTGCAAAAGACCGTTTTAAAGTATTAAAGAGCAAAATTGTAACTTTGAGGACAAAGATTTTCCTTGGCATTTTGAATTGCTTCATATGCATGTGAAAGTTGGACAGTGAATAAGAAAGATTGGAAAATCAGTGCATTTGAGTATGGTATTAGGAGTGACCGGTCCTGGTGTGGCGCTGTGGGTTAATGTGCTGGACTGCAAGGTCGGTTTGAACCACAAGTTTGGTCATTCAAACTCACCAGTCAGTCCTCAGAAACCCTATACAGGGTCACTATGGGTCGGAACTAACTTGACAGCACTTAACAACAACAACAACAACAACAAATCCCTGAAGAAGGACATTATGCCGGGAAAAGTGGAAGGTTAGGAAAAAGAGGAAAACGCCTGATGAGATGGATTCACACAGTGGTAGCAACAATGGGTCAAATATAAACAATAATAGTGTGGCTGATACAGGACCCAGCAAGTGTTCGTTGTATTGTGCATAAGGTTGCTATCATTCAGAACTGATTCAATGGCATCTAACGATAATAATGAAAGGGTCCAGTGACCAATAGGATCAGCAGTTCTTTTGGTAGCTTCAGGGACTAGAGAGAAATATATTTAAGTTGAAGACCTGCCATGGTGGAGATAACTTGGTAAACTCTGAAGTACTGCACCATAAGGATAAAGGAAGCACAGAAACCAAATGCCTCTTCTGGGCTTATAGGCTCATCTCAGTCCCTGAGGTTGAATTAATATGATCCTAGATTGTTTATGCATCCAGGGGTTGGGCAGAAGAGACTGTAAATTTGTTGGGAGGAAGATAACATTATCTAGGATCGCAAGGTAATTTTGTAAATAGTTTTACAAGTACAATATCCCAGAACACATTTTAAAAAATGCACCAACAAAAAATGGTCTACTTTTGCTTTCAGCTAAGTTATCAGACCTACATTCTCACTGAGAACAACTATAGGACTTGGGTAAAATATATAAATAGCTGGAGACATTTGAGTGCAACCAGACAAACTTGAACATGAAGGGCTAAGATTCCAGAGAAAAGGAAATCTCTGAGAGGTCAGCCCAGTATGTTCTTTAACTCTCTTCTCCAGTACCTCTTAAAGGATCCCTTGCAGCATAGTGGGTTCAAGCAGTCCTGGTGGCATAGTGGGTTAAATGTTGGACTGCTAAATTCAAGTTTGGCAGTTCAAATCCACCAGTTGCTCTATGGGCAAAAGATGAGGTTGTTTGCTCCCATAAAGATTTACAGTTTCAGAAAGCCTAAAGAAGTGGTTCCACTGTGTCCTATAGGGTCCAAGTAAGAGTCAAAATGGACTCCACGGCAGCGGGCTTGATTTTTTGGTTAGTATCTCTGGTAGTGTAGTGGTTACCAATCGGGCTGCGAACCTGAAGGCCAGCAGTTCGAAACTACCAGCCGCTCCCCGGGAGAAAGATGAGGCTTTCTGCTCCCATAAAGATTTACAGCCTTGGAAACCCTGTACAGAGTCACTATGGGTTGGAACCGACTTGAAGGCACATAACAACAACAACAACATCTCTTAGGTGTAAAGTCTAGTAAAATAGGTGTTACTTGTCTGCATTATACTATGGGGCAAAGCATGCTGTTTATTACAGACAGCGATCATAATTTGAACTTAGTTCTTCTGAAACTCAAGTCCAATGAATACTACTGAAAATATTTTTACGTAGAACAACATATGTATTGGGAATCACAAAGATAATAAGAGTATAGTGTAATGAATGTTCATCCATTTAGCATCTAGATTATGAAATAAAATGTTACCAACACCCCAGATTCTCCCCTCCTATCTTTTGAATCCTATCTTCCAAGAGTAGCCATCTTCTTGTCTTTCAATATTCACATGTGTCATGTGTTTTTGAACTCTCTACCAAGAGAATTGTAAGATTATGTACATTTGTGTCTGGCTTCCTTTATTCAACATTGTATTTTTTAGAATCATCCATATATTATTACATGTGATTGTAATTCATTTTCTCTGCTCTGTAGTCTTTAATTTTGTGTGTATTACAAAATTTATGTATTCATTATACTATTCATGGGTTTTAGAAGAATTTCCTGTTAAGGGTATTGCAAAGAGAACGAATGTGAATTTTTTTTTTTTTTTTCCCATATCAGTGAATGTTGTTTTGCTAGCACTGTTGTTCCCCCCTTTCCTTGTGATTTGGGAGAAAGAATGTTTTAAGTCACATTGTTTGAGAAATGTGATATTATGGCTTAACTTTTAGACTTGGCATAATCACATTCATTTGTTGATAAGAATTTAAAATTTTCATATCTAAAATCAAAGAGGTTGAAGTTACTTTCCGTCAAATTGGTAAGAAAATTCCTATTGACAGAGACTGACTTCTTCTTGTCTTTATTTGTTTTATAAAGAATATACTTACCCTTTCTTTGATTCATACTTATATAAAAGGTGAGTCCAATATGTGAAATATCTGAGTTGCTTAAGCACAGGAATCTGGACAAAATAATGCAACATGGTATGATTTAATGGTGTCATTAAGTAATTAAGATTGAATGCCAGTTTGGTTTACTTTATCTGAATTTTAAAAAATAAATAGCAATTTCTTTTATAAAACCATATAAGGTACAGTTTATTCATATTTGATTATTGCTATGATTCTTTTTTTGAAAGGTGAAGAAAAAAGTACCATTTTCTCAAAAGATCCATTCAGACGTACAGAAATGCAACAAGAAGAGAAAATAGAGAAGAGAGACTGCAAACAGTTATTCCTGGAAGGTGATAATCAACTAAGAGAAGAGGCACAGAACCAACAACTATCAAATGTAAAAGTCAAACTTTAAATATGATCATATTAAGTTGAAATGTAATACTTGTTGTTGTTGTTGTTATGTGCCGTGAAGTCAATTCTTACTCATAGTGACCCTGTACAGGGTTTCCGGGGCTGTAAATCTTTATGGGAATAGAAAACCTCATCTTGCTTCCGCAGAACAGCTGGTAGTTTCGAACTTCCGACCTTGAGGTTAGCAGCCCTATTCGTAACCACTAATGTAATACTAGTCAATAATAAGAACCACTGCCATCCAGATGATTCAAACTCAGAGTGACCCACTGTAGGGTTTGTGAGATTGTAAATCTTTCGGAAACAGACAGCCTTGTCTTTCTCCTAGAGAGGGGCTGGTGGGTTTGAACTGCCAACCTTGCAGTTCCAGTTTTATTATTTTGCCAAGGACAAGTTTTAATGTAATGGTATTTTTTTAATTTTTCACTGAAAATAGCTTTAAGTGAAATATGAACTGAAACCCTGATTTTAATAACTAAACCTTCATCAATCAAGAACAACAAAATTGCATTCAGTTTTTAAATGAACGTATTTAGTTATATAGTAAGTATATTATTTTCTATGTGGATATTTTCTTTATGTCTTCTAAATCTAGAGAACATGTGCATAGTCATTAAAAGTAATGAAAGTAATCTATTATTAACTTGCTGTTAAGTACCGTGGAGTCGGTCCCGACTCATAGCGACCCTGCACAGGGTTTCCAAGGCTGCAAATCTGGGAGCAGAAAGCCTCATCTTTCTCCTGCGGTCGAACTGCCGACCTTGAAGTTAGCAGCCCAATTCGTAACCACTATGCTACCAGAGCGCTTTATTAACTTACTGTAGCAATATTTTGTTGTTACTGTTTTTGAAGCTCAAAATTGAAGTTTTTTAGGAAGAAAAAAAGGCCATCTATTTATGTTGGGAAGTTAGCCTAGTAATAATTGTATATCTTTCTAGCACCCCTTGATACTTTTAACTTCTAAAATGAGAATCATGGATCTCAGGTTGATATAGCAATTTGGAAACATTTTAACATTTGTATTTATGAAGGTAATATATACATATTAATAAGTCCTTTGTTGCCTACAAGGCATATTTATAGTGGTTTGAAGACAGCATTCTACAAAGAGAGGAAATAGGAAGTATGAGTAAGAATATTTGAAAATAGCCATTATAGAAAATAGCACAGGCTATTTTTAAGGTTTAATATGAAGTGTTTTCAAAGAGTTATGCATATATCATTATGTTCATAAGGCAAGGTCAAGTTGGTTTGTATTTCCTATGTGTACAGACTGAACAGGAATCATCATTGGAATTGATTCTAATAGAAGACCATGACTCACTAATAGAAAAGATGAGCAACTGGAATTTTCAAATTTTTGAACTGGTAGACAAGATGGGAGATAAATCGGGAAGGATTCTCAGCCAGGTGTGTCTGAAATCTCTTTTCTTTTTGTTTCATTATAAATTTATTTTTAAATAGCAGAATCTAAAAAGTATACCATATTTTAAACACAAAATTTATTGTTTTATCACAAAAATTGTCATTAGAAATTAGACTCCAAGATTTCCTTGATGGGTCCTGCATAACAGTGTAAGATTAACCTTCCCAGAATACCAGTCAGTAATTCCTTTCATATCTTATTTACTAAATGCAAGAACAAAAGGAGGGTGTTTATCTCACAAAAGTCTTTAGAAGCAACATTTATCATATTTATCTGACTTCTTTTAATATCTAGGACTAGAATAAAATGACATTTACATGGCTTCAGTAAATTCAAACCAAAACCAAAGTCACTGCCGTCAAATCAATTTTAACCCATAGAGACACCATGTTGTTGTTGTTGTTAAGTGCCGTAAAGTCGCTTCCGACTCACAGCGACGTGTTTCTGAGGAACAGCTGACGGGTTTGAACTGCTGACCTTGCAGTTTAAACCAATCTTGCAGTCCATACAGGACACATTATAACTACCCATAGGGTTTCCAAGACTAAATCTTTATGAAGCTGACTGCCACATTATTGTCCTGAGGAGCATCTGGTGGGTACGAACCACAGGACTTTTGGTGTGTTAACTACTATACCATCAGGGCTCCTCTTTTGGTGAGTTAATCAAGGGAAATACCTTAAATTAGTGCACAATGTTGTACATTCTATTTGGTTTTTAAGTGCTTCACGTAAGATATCTTCTTTTTCTATTTGGGAGGAAGAATTCATTATAGGGGAATCATTGATGATTTAACTTAATATTTCTAACTGTAAGTCATAAAACCAGACCCAACTACAAGTAGAAATTCTGATTTTTAAAGAAAACTTTATTTTTATTGCTATTTAGGTTATGTATACCTTATTTCAAGACACTGGCCTTTTGGAGATATTTAAAATTCCCACTCAACAATTCATGAACTATTTTCATGCATTAGAAAATGGCTATCGAGATATTCCCTGTAAGTATCGATACGTTAACTATTTAAGTTCAAATAATTCTTATTTTGAAACTCTTTCTTTTTCCCTTCAGATAAATTACATATTTGGAAAATTTAGAGATTTGACAAGAAAATTTGTATCCCACTACCTTGAGTTAACTGATTATTGTTAACATGTTGGTATCGAAGGGTAAGTCAAAAAGTAATGCTACAGGGTTCCATGCACAGGTTTATTCCAAATAAAACATGTGTCAACATGTCTCTACAATCTGTGGATGGGTCCAGACAAGTTTTACCCTTGTCTTAGTCTTATTAGGGTGTCTTCAAAAAAACAAAAAAAACGTTCAGTCCAAACAGCGGCTTCCTAGGGGATCTGCTGGGCCAGCTAAATTCAAGGAACAGAGGTCAGCTCAGAAGTTCTTAGTGACTATTTTTGAGATCCCAAGGAGTAATCTTGATAAGTTTTGTCAAAGAACATAGAACTTCTTACAAGGTAGTTTTAAGAAACTTGAAAACTGCATTGGTGAGAAAAAGGCCAAGAAAGTTGTGCTGAGGAACTGTTTCTCTCCTGACAGTGTACTTGCTTAGTCTTCAAGGGGAATAAGAACCGTAGTACAAGAATTTCAATGGAAAACCTTACTCCACCCATCCTGCAGTTCTGATTTTGCTCCTTCTGATTTCTTCTTGTTCCCCAAACTCAAAGGGAACAAGATTTGAATCCCTTGAGGATGCCAAAACTGCTGTTTTGACGTAGTGTAAATGGAAGAGTGCAGAATTCTTTGGAGAAGGGCTAGAGAGATAGAACACTGGCTTCAGAAGTGTATAGCCCTATGCTGAAAAAGAGTAGGTTCACATTTTGATAGCTTCGCTGAGTAAAGATTTATATGATTTTGTAACAATACTTTTTGACTTAACTCTCATATATCCTCCAAGATTGTTTACTTACTTATATATATACATTATATAAATGTATTGTTATAAAGTGGGTAATGATATTGATACCTATTTATAATCTACTCTTATCATGTCAATAATTATTCATCTGATGTTATCTTTCTAAAAAATTGTTGATTTTTAAAAAAATATCCTTAGGATTTCTGTTTTTTAATGTCTATTTGATTTACAGTAAAATAGAATTTGAATTCCATATTAATAAAAGATGTAGCTTTCTCTTTGTATAGCCACATTCTGTAGCTTCAAGATGGACACATTCATTACCTGGGAAATTAATCATATACACCAAGATCAAATTGTTCTTAAATTGGCATAACTCATTGGTAATGATGCTTAATAATTTAAGTCTATGTAAGCACTGGATTAATAACCAACCACAAGGTTGGTGGTTCAAACTCACCAGCTGCTCTTTGACAACCCCTTACAGAGTCACTATGAGTCAGAACCAACTCAACAGCACTTAACATAACGGCAACAACACTTAATATATCCACATTGAAGTATACAGTTTTAAAATGGTTGGAATTTATAAATGGAATAAAGTGATACTCTAAGATGGATTTAAAGAGATGGCGAGGGGGAAGAAAGAGGTGATAAAGGGGCTTCACTCCAGCTCTTATATATTAGTTAACAAAACAGAGCCTAGGTCAAGTTCTTCTGGAACGTAGATTCCAAATTCATAAATGGGAATAGTAATAGTCCTGGGGCCGTGCTGCAGTTTAAGCATTTGACTTAACCACAAGGTCAGCAGTTCAAACTCTCCAGCCGTTCTTCAGAAACTCTGTACAGAGTTGCAGTGAGTCAGAACTCACTCAATGGCACTTAACATCAACAACCCCTTAGAGAGTGATAAGACAATCCAAATATAGCACATACTAGAATTCACAGCATATAGTAAATGGTCTTGGACAATTCTTAAGGAAGACCAGAGAAGAATCAGCGCATTTGAATGATGGTGTTGGTATTGAATATTGAAAGTACCATGGACTGTCAGAAGGACAAACAAATCTGTTTTGGAAGAAGTACAGAATGCTCCTTAGAAGTGAGGTTAGTGAGACTTCATCTCTCAGACTTTGGCCATGTTATCAGGAGGGACCAATTCTTGGAGAAAGGACATCATGCTTGGAACAGTGGAGGGCTAGGCAAAACGAGGAAGACCCCTCCCCCCCCAGTACACTAGATCAACACAGTGGCAACAACAGTGGGCTCACACGTAACAATTGTGAGGACGGCACATGACTGGACACTGTTTCTTTCTGTCGTGAGTCAGAAGCTACTTGATGGCACCTGACAACAACAGTAAATTGTCAACAGCAGGTGGGGGTTGAAGTGATAATAAACTCCTGGTGGGTTGACATCATGTCACTTCATAGCCCGAACACTCAACGATTGTGTTATCTGCTAATGAAACATATCCCCAAACCCAAACCCCTGCTATCAAGTCGATTCCGTCTCCTAGCCACCCTATAAAGGGTTTCCATGGTTATAAATCTCCAGGAGAGCAGAAAGCCTCATCTTTCTCCCACAGAGTGGCTGGTGTGTGTGAACTTCTGGCCCTGTGGTTAGCAGTCCAGTGCTTATTCTATCATGCCACCAGGGCTCCTTAATGATACACATTGTAATGAAATGTTCTTGAGTCAGTTCTGACTTATAGTGACCCTGTCTGTATATTGTTTCTGAGTTGCAGCTGGTGGGTTTGAACCACCAACCTTTTGGTTAGTAGTCTAGTGCTTATCCTACAGCCCCACACCAGAACCCCTAAGTATGAATAGTAGTGGTGATTGTGTGTCACTGAGTCAGTTCCCACTCACAACAACACCGTATAGGATTTCCCAGGCTATAAATCTTTATGGGAGCAAAAACCTTATTTCTCTCACAATGAGTGAGTGGTAGATTCGAGCTACTGAACTTGGAGTGATCAGTTCAGCTCATAATCCTCTAGTTTTCCAGGGCTCCTTAAGGATACATGCTATTGCTGTTAAGTGCCACCAAGTTAGTTCCAAGGAGCAGCTGGTGGGTGTGAATTGCCAACCTTGTGGTTCGAAGCCCAGTACTGATCCTACAGGGCCAAACCAGTAGTCCAAGGATAAGTGTTGTTGTTGTTAAGTGCCATTGAGTCGGTTCCAACCCATGGCGACATTGTATAGGGTTTCCGAGGAGTGGCTGGTGAGCTCGAACCTCCAACCTTGTAGTTCTAAAATTTAAATTATGATTAAAAAAATCGCTTGGATTCAAACTGACTTTGCAGTCCAGAGCATTAACTCACAACGCCACATCAGGAGTCAGAGGGTAAATAGAAGGTACTAATTAAATATTTATTGAAGGGTTGAACTGTTTTTGGATATCTCTTATAACTGTAATCATCAGACTCATGTAGATCATGTCATTTAATCTTTGTTTAAAAGATTGTATTATCTACTTTTTATTGGTGAGAAATAAAAACTCAGGAGGATCTTTCTCAAGACTGTTGTTGTTGTTGTTAAGTGTCATTAAGTTGGTTCTAATCCACAGTGACCCTGTACAGGATTTCCAAGAAGCATCTGGTGGGTTTGAACTGCCAACTTTGAGGTTAGAAGTCTAGTGCTTATCCTACAGGGCTACACCAGGACATAGTTGTTTTTGGGTGGTGCCATCAAATCAGTGCTGACTCATCGTGACCCTGTGCACATCAAAACAGAACAGTTGTCTATAGAATTCTTGTACTTTAAAAATGCCCTATGTGAACATAACTAAAGATCCTTTTTATGAAAATTTTGGTGATTTTAGATCACAATCGGATACATGCCACGGATGTCCTGCATGCAGTTTGGTATCTGACAACACGGCCAATTCCTGGTTTTCAGCAGACACACAATGATCATGGAACAGGAAATGAAGCAGGTATTTCATTCTTCAAATCTTCCATTTAATTATTTGATTGTTGTTGTGAAATGCTGTTAAATAATAGCAACCCTGTATCGGGCAAGTGACTGGTGGGTTTGAACTGCTGACCTTGTTAGCAATCTAGGGCTTATCCTACAGCCCACATCAGTTCTACAATTATTTGATTAGAAATAATCAACCAAGCTATCTCACTTTATTTATGATTTTCTTTTAAAATTTTTATTAAGTAACCTTTGATACATGTAAAGGACTGTTAAGTTTTGCTGTACAATAATGACATGAAAATTTGGAAATCTAGTATCTACTTAGGTTCAAAATATAATTTACACAATGTAAAAATAATGAATTATCTTTTCAATTGTTGCTTGTGTTTATTATGTTAAAAATTCTTGGGATGATACATACTGAGTTAAATTATGATTTAATAATCATTTTGGACTTTGACAAACCAAAGTCATCATTCCTAAATTTCAGTGGCTGATCAATCAGTGGAATTCTGTATCCTCTTAATCTTCATGGTTTTATTTGTTCTTTAAATACAGTTTCTTTTTTTTCTTTATACTTTCTTGAGATCCCTTCAGCAAAAATAATACTGACCATTTAAATGAATAAAGCCACTGAAATGGAAAAAGAAAGAAATCAATCACTTGTAAGCTATTGAGACACCAAAAGCATATTGAAGCACCAAACATATTATTTCTAAAAAGATAATACAAATAAAGCTATTTTGACTGATAAGTCCCTCAGATTCCTATGCCTGTTCATTATGTTGTAATGTTATATGGGAAGAAAAAGAAGTAGAGGGTTGTACTCAGAGTTCAAAATGAAGTATAACCTTTTTGAGAGAAAAATTTACAAATGTTTTCAGCATCTATGTTAAGAAGTTTGGTAATAATGTTGATGTGAAGTGCCATCAAGTCAGTCTCAACTCATAGGGACCCCATATAGTGTTTCCAAGGAGTGACTGGTGGGTTTGAACCACCAACCTTGTGGTTCAAACAGATCTTATGGTCCAGTGCTTATCTTACAGAACCACACCAGGACTCCTTGGTAATATGTGGAGCTTCAAAAAGCTCATGGAAAATGGATTAAAAGATAATGGAATTTTCCCATAAACTTTGATGCTCCTTCATATATTAAAATTTTAAATCTCTATATCGTTTTGTATCAAATTTTAGATAATAATCTTTTTCTGTCACTTCCTATTTGCTGGCTGTTACATCTAGCCCCTTAAATAGCAAATATATTTTAAATAGCTGGTTTTTGTTTTGCGTGTTCTATTTGTTTGTAATTCACTTGAGTAATACAGCAACAAGTTGGCGTGAGAATCCCATCATGCGCTGTAAAGTCACTGACTGCAGGGTCATGCTTAACACGGTTCCTCTCTATTAGTACCTACCTTGAAAATAGTTTACAGTGGCATGCTTCTAAATAAGATCTATTTCTTAGATAGGTTAATACATAACCATCATATCTATGGGGAGCCTCCTCCTTAGCAGAATTATAGGGAAGTTACATGTTAATAGAATATGTTTTGCTACTTATTGTTCCTCAGATTCTGATGACAGAATTAACTCTGGGCAAATTGCTTACATCTCATCGAAGAGTTGCTCTATTCCGGATGAGAGCTATGGCTGCCTGTCTTCCCACATCCCTGCCCTGGAATTGATGGCTCTGTACGTGGCAGCTGCTATGCATGATTATGACCACCCAGGACGAACGAATGCCTTTCTAGTGGCTACGAATGCCCCTCAGGTAAGAAGTGCTTTTTCAGAGATGTTAATTTTCAAGTTTTACAATCATACCACTTATCTTGTATAAACCATTCTTCAACGGAATCATCGGGCCATTCCATCTGACTCTACAACTCTATAACCAGTTGCTTTCAGGTTGATTCTGAGTCATGGTGACCCATGTGTGTTAGAGAACTAGGTCCCAAAAGGTTGTCAGTGGCGGAATTGTTGTCTTCCTTCTGAGGTACCTCTGGGGGTGAACTTGAACTGCCAACTTTTCGGTTAGCAGCCAAACGTGTTAACCATTTGCAACATCCAGGGACTCCTTCTAAGACCTTGCATTGTACTGATTATAACTCATGGTAGCAGCATGATGTATGCTAGGGAATTAGGAAAAACATCACCTTCTTAAAC